AAGGGCTCTATGAGTGGGAACCAGTCTGTCACCCAATAACAACAGCCAGCAAAGCATGAGGGTTCAAATTTTTCCATATCCTCTTCAACACTTGCTAGCTTCCATTTTCCTGTTAATCACCATCCTAGTGGGTATGAGATTGCATCTCAATGTGATCTCGATTTGCATTACACTAATGACCAACTCTCTACTCTGGTAATGATTTAGTGTTGAAAGTACATAGGAGCAGTTCTACCCTGTTCTATCAGGTCTCTATGATCCAGAAGTGATAACAGTGAGTTTGGTTTTTCATTTTAATACCTAGCAAGAGTAGCCCTGGTGGTGTGGGTGGGTAATCATTGGGCTGCTAACCACAAGGTCAGCAATTCGAAACCACCTTCCACTGTGCTGGAGAAGAATAGGGTTGTCTGCTCCTGAAGAGGTTACAGCCTGGAAACTCAGAGGGCAGTTCCACTCTGTCCTACGGGCTGCTGCGAGTCAGAATTGGCTCCTTGGCAGAGTGAACTAGTGACTATTGATCACAAGTATCTTCCTATGTGCTTATGGGTCACTTATGAGATGTATAGTTAGGGCCTCTGCCTATTTTTGGGGGGGTTGCTTATATTTTCATTGCTGAGTTTAGACATGCCCCTGTAAAACAATATTCTTACTACCTGTTACTGTGCGCTGGATGGCAATATAAAAGAAATCAAGCTGTGGATGTTATCTGTTTTTAAAATCCACGGGATGAGTCTACCCTGGCCATGATCATATTTCCGGTGCTCAATCAACCCTCTTGCTTAGACTGCAGGGAAAGCTGTGTTTGTGCATGACTCCTGGGGGTGTACAATGTGTCATTGGCTTGAGGGAGCACACACTCTTTCTCAACGTGTAAAGTAGTCCACACTATGACGAAACTAGTTCTCAGTGGCCCGACTGGACTGGCTTCACTTGGCCCACGGTAAGCTAGTTCCGCATTCTTGGTGCTGTCACCCAGAAGCCTAAAAGGCGGCCTGTTGTCTGTCCTTTGAGCTAAATGCAGCATCTCCCATCCAATTGACTGGCTTGGCAAAGTTGCAAATTTTATTACGCAAAAGTTGAGAAAGAGCAAAGCCGAGGAGTGCTAAGAATGGTACATTTTGCTACTGTGTGGTATCTGTATTTGGAGCCCAGGGGGGTTTATTTATAGCTATCTATTATTACATAGCAAGAGTTACAGACAGAAACACCCAGAAAAATAACCTTATCACAGAGTTTCCATTATCCAAGTGCAGCATCAAAAGCAAGACCAGCAAACTGGCTGAGTGGAGAACAAAGCCATCGTCTCCCCCTCCTCTCTCGCGTCCCTTCCCTTTGCTCTCAGCACATGGGCACATGCCTGCGACTGCGAGAGCCTCTCCTCCCAGGCCCACGGGCCTCCATGTCCAGCCTTTGGCCAGCTCTTGTAGCCCGACCTCCTCTACCTCCTTCTCTCGCAATTTCCTAAGAGGTGGAAGCTTCTACCTTGTGAAACTGGTTAGTTGGGGTTCTACCCCCGGCCAGTTGATTCTTTGGACAATTTCTGGTTGGGCAGGCTGCTTTCTGTCCCTGGCTCAGCTGTCTCTGGACCAGGGCAGGGTCTTCCCTTTCTGTACCAGAAGGAAAAGACGCTGCTACAAGAGTAGAAGCATACCCAGAAAGCTGACACCACAGCCTTCACCCAAGATCCCCCCCCCCCCCCCCACATGTACACTCACACACACAAAGATGGAGAAAAAGAATGACATGCATACACACGCACACAAGTCTTGGAAACCCAGGATGCTAAGGGGTGTGAGTAAGATTTGGAATGATGGGGTCCTCCTACCCTGGAAAACCTATGCATTTATTTTAATAGCACCCCAAAAGGCAGGGGAGAGGGGCTCAGGGCTGGGGCCAGGTCTGTCTGCTGCACCCCAGGTTGTAGCCATCATTCGAATACACTCACCAGCTGAGGATGCCTGAGAGGCAGAGGTGCAAAGGTTGGGTGCTGGGGCTTCTGCAAGATCTGCCTCACCAAGGTGGTGGGGATCAAGTGAGGGTGGATGCAGGAAACATCTGACAGGTGACCTGGACCCAGAGAATACTGGGTTGGGTGGTGGCAGTCTTTTCTAGGGAAGCACTGAGGACAGGTTGTCCGTGTTTTGTGGAAGTTAGCGTTTTTCCCAGGAGCTAAAAATGAATGAATGAATGCGGGATGGTGTTGATTCCTGCCAAGACTCATTGCTCAGGCTACCTCTTCCCTCTGGGGCGCAGCTTGGCTCCTGAGAAGGTGGCATGACTTCTCCTTTCCTTTCCCTGCGTTCTTCTAGGGGAGAGAGGTCGGGATACAGGCCTCAGCTAAGGCAGGCACAGTCTGCTTCCTGCTTGGCGCCACCAGGTCCTAGGGGGAGCTGTGCTCTCCCAGGGCCCCAGGGCTTGGCTGAGGAGGAGGAGGAGAAGGAAGAGGAGGAGGAGGGGGAGGGGGAGGGGGAGGAGGAGGAGGAAGACCCTGGGGATTGGGTGGAGGCATCTTTATGTGTGGGTGTGAGAGAGAAGCACTGGCCTCATACCTATCCCCAGCGCTTGCAAGACAAATATATCTCAGAAGAAGTACGGTCATACTACTCCTTAGAAGGGAGGATGGTGACACTTCACTTCACACATTTTGGAGAGGGATGTCCTTGATAAAGGACATCATGTTTGGTAAAGTGAAGGGGCAGCGAGAAAGAGGAAGACTCTTGATAAAATGGA